CGACCGAGTACCTGTAATTTGCCATGTGTAGAGTGTGACATGTGTAGACATGGAAGCTCATGGAAGCTCTGAGGATGGTGACAGTCATCCATCACTGAGATCTGCTGTTCCTATCATTCCTATTACCTGGACCCTTTCGTTCGATGGGTGATTCCATGTGTGTCCGTTCGATCGGCGCCCAGGCTCACCACCTTTTAGGATCCCAAAGCAGACCAACTGGACAAAGATAGATCTGCATAGAATCGAAGCACTTGGGCCCTTCCCGCGCAGGCGCCGCGCGGCGCGCTGGCCGGCGCGGCCATCAACGCGCTCTGGGGTGCAGGGCATTGGCCAATGATCAGCACAGGCGATCGGCAACTGCACCGTGCCATGATCCCCGGTCCTGGCCCAGGACCGAGACGTGGGAGGAGGCATCACTGAGATCAAGTGCCGGTGGAGGGGGGGGGCTTCCTGAAGTGTGTTTGGGTGGGTCCTATGACCCACCCATGCTGGCGAAGATGGAGTCCACTCGGTAGGCACCATGAAGAAAAGGATCCAAAAACTGCAGAAGGACTCTCCGAAAAGGCTGGTTCCGGAACTCCTCAAATCTGCTGGGCTAAAACCTCAATCACCATTGAATTAATTAATGTTCCCTTGGTGTTATACACTTGGTTTAGACTCCAACACCAGGTTCAAGCTTTCATGGTCACCAGGACGGTGCACAGGTGTGTGCGTTGAGCTTCATGCGGAGGTCTTCCGTGACTTTGGGGTGATCGATTTCAAGTGAATCTGGTCAATGGAAGTAAGAAATAAACATTCCAGTTGCATGGATTGCTCCAAAAAGACGTGTGAACCCACCTCCAGGATAGGATGTTGAGCATTGAATGTTCTTTAGAATCCTGTAGGCCAGTAGGCAGCCTGGTGACCTAGTGATTGGGAATTCTAACTGCTCTTTGTCAGATCAAATCTCAACTTGTTGAACTCAGAGTCTCTTACAGGGCTCCAACCAACTGCAGAATTGGAGGATCTGGTTCATTCCTTTTTATGTAGTCCCCCCCTCTCAGGAATTCTCCACCAATACCCGGAGTTGTTCTTCACTGGGCCGTCAAACCTGACTGAACAGCACCAAATCCAAATACTGCAGCAACCCTGACACAGCATAACACATCATGGCGCTAGGACTGCGCCATACTAGGTTGTTTCAGTTTACCACACGGGTTGTCTTCCACTCCTCATGAGGACGTATCATCCCACGCACACCACGAACGCCGCACATGCGCCACGCTTGGCCACGCCGGAATCCACGTGCGAAGCCGCTGGACCGACGGAATCTTCGACCGTCCGGTGGACGTGTGACAACTGCACCTCACCACGGGATCACGGTCAGGAATGACATCCACGGCCAGGGCCTGGAGGCCAGGCGGGTTCGGGTGGACGTGCTGAAGAGATTGGACACCCCAAAAAGGGTTGCGACATGGACTGAAGGAATGGGAAAAAAAACAAAAACTATCGTCATAATAAGGGTTTTGAGACTCAACAAGACATCGTGTTCTAGGACTTTGTGTTGCCGATACGCATGTTCCATTGGAAGAATTCTGGAAACAGGTCCAAAGTCAATGTCCTTTGAAAGCTTGGTGAGATACACAATTGACACAAAATGAGCTTTTACATGCACTCATTGTGGAGTATCACGACCATTGAGTACAAACTGACCCCAAGGTGTACCAACAAACTACGAGTTTGCTAACTAAATGAGCCACAGAATGGACATGCAAATCACAGTTGACAATTCCCGCTTGGGCAATTTGATTGAGCAGCATGGTCAGCAGCGCAGTATGTTTTACATATTTCTGGAACCTTGCAATGTGGACCCATACCATCCAAATCAAGAAAGAACTTTGGAGAAATAGCGGTGCCAAAGGTGCTCGGGGTCGGGGTTGCCAACTTTATTAACGTTCACGTTACTTAAACCGTGAGCACAGATTCAAAGAACTTCTGAGTTGGATCCTTCTTCCGCCGAGCCCATCGAGTGTTGCTACTGCCGAGGTGGGCGTCGCATGCGCATGCGCGGAAGGGCCTCGCCTGCAACCTGACGGGGTTGATGTCCAAAAGGATCGCCTCAGGGGGTGTTTGGTTGGAGCCAAGCTGTTACTCAGAGTGAGATGATTTTGAGCAAACATGGCCATGTATCACATCGTAGACCATCTGGACATCCAACTGGGGAGATTGGAAGGCTTGACCCTGGCTGTTACGTCTCTGCGCATCTGCTTTAAGTGACCTTGGAAGCTGCCGTTGGACACGTTGGCTGCCAGGTTCGGAAAGCCAAATTGGCTCCAAGCCAAAAGGGGCCACCTGCTGATTTAGGGATTTAGGGATTCAGTCATCCGATGTTGTTTCGGGTTGCAACCAGCCATGCCTCCCTCCACACGCCCCGAACGCACGCCCTCCACGGGATGCCCCGCCGTCGATCGGACCTGAGAGCGGTGTGAAGAGCGGCGAGCGGACGGTCGCTGCGACTGAGCCCAAGTTGTTTGTCTTCATCAAATGGTTAAACCCTTTTTTGCAGTCCAAAGGCTTACTCAAAGGCTTATATACGTTTGCAGTCCTAGGCTTTCTTTGCAGTCCTAGGTAAGGGAAATTATCAAAATCAGCCCCCCTAAAAAAACAATCATTGTATTCATAGCCTTGTGAGGAAACAAATATATTAGCTGAGAGGATGTTTAGGGTGGAAGGGCCTGCCTGCCGCATAAATACCAGGGACCCATGGTTGATCATGGTTGGGTGGACATCTTTTTCGAGGCGATCAAAAACACATATATTATATAGATAGAAGACTGGGTGAAGTTTAAGTATAAATCCTCTGGAAGATACTCCGACCCCCAAGCCGTTTCCCTGGACAATGACAGGTTCACCGAACCGAAACCCACCCGTTCCTTGTTTCGTGGAGAAACCGATTCCTTCAAAAAGGTTTAAACCCTACAGGTCAAAGACCTACATTTTACTGGGAGTTGCTGATACAAAAACCTCAGGGTTCCTATAACAACGCAGATTCACAAAAAAAAGGTGACCTGCAGATCCTCAGGGTTCCTATAGAACTCCTGGGTAGGCTGTTTGGAACAGCTTTCTGAGCCGAACCGGGTTGCCAAGTAAGGACCGCTCAGGATTTGGATTTGATCGCTTTTGGCAGCCCCAAGAGATGTGAAGATATGCTACTCAGTTGTGTAATGATGTGTACTGCAGCTATTTTTTTGGGGGGTAGAACTTACACAAAATCGGTTCGATCTTTGTATTATAGCTTTTGGAGCATTAGGTAATTCTTTACGGAGATTCAACTGTTGCATCTTTCCCAATTTCTTATTATGAGTCATCAAGACAAGCCAAAAAGCAACAGGCAACCAGACCAGTTCACCTGGTCAAACATTCGCATACATTCGCAGATCCCCTCTGGTCACGATCCACGGGTGCGGGTGGGTGGGTAAGTGGGCACCCATGCCTGCTGCGTCGTCTGCAATCCTCAGTGTGACGGGCTTCCGGACGCCCGGAGGAGAAAAGGCGATGGAGGGAATTCCAAACTCAGCACCTGAAGCCGTCCGCGCACACTGGAGCGCTGCTGGGGGTCAGGCATTCCGTCCGGATCTGCTGGAATAAAGCTAGTCTGATTATATAAATCCTACAAAAGTCCCCCTATATAACCACCATTTGTTTCACAGTTCTTGACTCCGAGGATAAATAAGAAGTTTACATGCAATTGCGGTAGAAGAAAGATTTCAGGTATTCTGGTGAGTTTGTGCAGGGAAACAGTTGCAGTACTGCCTACCAAAGATAACTAGGTGCATCCGCCACCCACTTGAGCACCCTACTCGACAATGAATGCCAGCCTCCACTGACTCTGAGAACTATATTAAACTTAAAGCATTTCCAGCACAAGTTCGACTGTTTCAAATCCACCGAGCAGAAGAAAAACACTGTTTGCTCCAACTCATCCCACGCAAGTCAGCTGCCTCGATTCTTTCTTTCTCTGTCAATGGCGGGGGGTCAAAGCTGTCAAACCAGAATCCAAACACATGAACCTATATCATCTATCTACAGAACAATATTCCCAACACATGTTCTTGACTCATCCACTCGTGCTTAAGCACCAGCAAGAATATGGTGTAACATGTGACCCATGTTCATCTGGAATAGCAACATGTTGGTAGTGACCAGGAGTTCCACGTCATTGAGTCATGGAACACGTTTCTAGCTCAAACATGTTCACATCCCCAAACACATCTCAAACCGCTCTCAGAAGAAACACGATGTGAACAGCAACAACTTGGGAGCAACCTGCATATACTTAGAAGATCTTCCCAGTGTCTGTTCATGTAGGCAGGTGGATCTTTTCTTTTGCTTCTTCGGGCCGTGCGTTCGATCGGCGATCAGGCGTGCCTAGGAGATTGGCAATGCCCCCGCCCAAGGAATGCCTGAGCGAGGTGCCGGGGTGATCGAACAAAACGATCGCCGAGACGTCAAAGGTCAAACAGCACCGAAAGGTTGTGAGACAAAGAAAACAGCGGTGGATTGCATCGGTTCTTTTGACTATAGATAGCGACCATCCTTCCCCAAAGAATGTAGAGTACAATTGAGTACAGGTGCAAGACTAGGTACTGTACAAGTTATTCGTCAACCGAATATTAAACCTTCGCAGGGGATTACATCCTGGAATCTTCTTGGTCTGGCCGTTACCGCATACCTACGTGAGTGGACGCAACATTCGGTCTCAGGCCCAGCATGCTCTGCTAAAGCCCTGAAGGAAAGAAGTGCTCAACTCTCATTTTCAAGATTAAATGGCCCCTGGAAAGATGACGAAATCCGAACACCAAACAGGGAATCGTCCACGAAACGTCACGAGACCATCTTTGTTGGAGGAAAGGTAATCAAAGACTTTGGATGTTCGTCTCCCTCGAGACTGAGAGTGTCAACATCTGTGTTCGTATCTTTTGTTTCGGAAGCTTTTGACGTCCCAGTCCCGCTCCTTTTGTTTTGGGTCCTTCCAAAGCAGCTCATATACGTGAGATGAGTTCTGCGGCGAACTATCACGGCCCAAAGCTATACAGCCAACAACTCGGGAGCCATGGATACATTATGATAAATCCGGATACATCTGAATGCCTATCGAAAGCCAAAGTTCACAGCTCCTCAGAATTCCAAAGGAGGTCAGCAGCTCCATGGATTACCAGCTCCATGTTCTTGTGCAGAGCAAGACCACAAGGGGTCTAGGACTACCTTTCAAGGTCTGATTTGCTCAATATATTTTTCCAAGCCCTTGAGCAAGACCTCGATCTGCGATTTTAGCTCAAACAAAGTGACAGGCCTCTCCCAAACTCCCCCAAACATGCTCCACCTTGCGCCTGGACCACTGGCCAGAGCCAAACACTTCTGATTTGGCAGTGCGACTATGATCTGGAGTGTTGAATTCCAACGCCACCAGCACTGTGTTGTCTTGTGTGTATGTCTTGCTGTTGTCGAGCCTTTCTAGTGACACCATCCAATCAACGTTGAGCTGCGCAAAACGCAAGGGGACATCGGAGTAAAAGCAACGCCCTTGTTGAGACACCATCATCTCCAGCACTGAAGCACAATCAAGTTCAAAGTTGCCGTGCCACTTGCCCAGTTTATGCCTGGCACGGGCATGCCCAAGCATGCTTTGTATGTGTCCACGCAAAGTCGTCCTGCAGGCAAAATCGTAAGCAGCTTTGCATTGCTTGCATTGACTTCGATGACCTCTTGCGCTTTGGCTGCACAAGTGAAAACACTCCAAAGGCTTCCAAACCCCACACCTCAAACACCTGAATCTTCCAAAGATCGCCTCAACTTCCTCAAGTTTGTCACACTTGGGGGCGGTGAAACCAACAGGTCGAGAAAGGGAGCGGTATCCCTCACGTGCAGCGCTGATCAACCTATTCAAGCCATGCAAGTCCACGTTCGACAGTCGCTCAGAATTGAAATTCTGAACCTTCTCCAAAGACCATTTGGAAGATCCAAATGTTGCTGACATTGGGACTCTTCTGCTCAACTTTTCTGTGGAGTTGAATTCTGCAGCAATAAGAACACAGTTCTCCCGCACATACCCCGCAGCATTGTCCACCCTTTCCAATGACATTCGCCAGTCTGAGTGCGGTAACAGCATCTCCATGTGAACACCCGAGTACGCACATTTTCCTTGCTGTTGCAGGACTGTGTCAAGGATAAAGTCAACGTCCAAATTGCAGTCCCAACCCTTCAATTTTGATCGATTTTTGGCACTGCTAACAAGACAAACAGCATTTCCGCGAAGGGTTCGAGCATAATTAGCCCTTCTCTGATTGTCACAACTTTTGCAGTACGAGCGAACATAGCCTTTGGCACTTACAGAAAAGCCATCCCGTCTCTTCTCAACCCCACAATCACAACATCGCCAACTGCCACTGCCATCGCCCAGTGCCCTCGAAGTCTTGGGCGATCGGGACCCGGATCCCGCTTGCGTGGGCGTCCTCGACGACCTTGCCTCCTCGACCAAACACCACAACCCCACAGTGTCCAAGTCAGCCGTAGCAACCGGCTGCACAGAGAGTCTCAAGCTGCTGAGATGCCTTTCTCGCACGACGGCCCACCTGTGCTGCGAGCGCAGAACGCATCGATACGCTCTGGAGATCATGGCACTGATGTTGCACCTTCCTATACGGATTTATCATGATTTATCGCTGAGCCTCTGAGCCGTCTCGAAAGGAGGGATGGAGCAACATGTGTGTAGAAGTCCTCGATTTTGGCTACGGGCTAGAGCACAGAACCAGGTATTCAGGGTCCCATCGCACGGATGCGATTCAATACATATCTTGGCTGAGAACCACGCATTCCAGGACCTTCAAAGTGACCTCTTTGGCATCTCTAAGTGGCCTCTTTAGGGTCTAAGTGACCTCATTCTGAGATCTCAAAAGGTCACTTTGAAGGTCCTGGGAGTGATAGTTTAATCGCTGGTGTGTCGCTGTCCTTCCATCCCTGTCGCTGTGTGCGACAACCGGCCGTGTTGTTTCCGGACTGTTCAAACCCAATAGCGCACTCCCGAAAACTAAACATGGAACCTGAGAATGGCACCCTGAAAGATGTTTGCCTAGAGATCGGAGGCCCAAGGGCTGACACACACACACACACAAACATCTAAAATTTATACCAGCACCACCCATTTCGGGTGGTTGATAGACCCCCTTGAGGCCCTTGACTACGTCTTTTTCATTCTTTTTCCATCCAATAAACACCCTTTGGGTGGCGCTGGTATGTGAAGTTATCACAGGTTTATTCATAGAGATCCCTATCAGTGGTGGTCGGTGGTGGATTATGTCAAGTAACATCTCCATGCAGGTGTTTTGCACAATAGTTTACATCACATATGTGAACAACAACTCACTACACGAACTCAAGATTCATAACTCGAAAGACTCTCCCGTTTCAGAACGTCCTGACAGGGTGGCTGACATGCGACATTCATTAAGTCATCTTGATATTGATCTACCAGTACGATGTACACCCGTCAGGTCAGACCTGTTGTTGTCTCTTTTCTTGGGGTGGGGGGTCCATTGGTCTAGGCTCCTTCCTTTGGTTCCTCTCTCATGTTGATTTTCGGCTGCAAGAGGGCTCTTCACCAAGAGAATTGAACGTTCACTCCAAGGCCCTTGAGGTGTTCCACCCCCCCAAAAAGCACCTCACTAAGCAGGTCTCACCGAGCTTGCTTTTCAGAATCAATGGTATCACGTGCACTGAAGCATCCTTGGGCCTGAACCTTGCACTGTTCGGAGCAGAATCCCTTCTTCAGTGAGTCTCTAGTCAAGCAACGCAAACCCCTTCATCCCTTTCATCCGCCTGGAAGAAAGGTGAAGAATCAGATCAAAGAATTATGTCCATGACTTGGATTTGCTTATATAAACAAACTGGGAAAACCTCATATTCCCCACATTTGGGGATCCACGCCAGTTCGGAAAAAATAACAAATATGTGACCCCAAGCAAAACCAGGACGAACACCGACACTGAGAATATCTGAATGATTATGTTTATGTTTTTTCTTAGCCATGCAGCTACCTTTGTGGGTCCTTGAATCGCACCAAACTTCTCAGGGGGAATACGGAACCTCCCTGGCGAACCGGCCCACTATGGTTCCGTATTGCCTGGTAAAAAATGGCCGGTACTTGAAACCACAGCACAGCAGGACAGCCAGAACTACTGCACTTTTCTGGGCTTCCCAAGCCCTGTGAGGTAGATCAGCTTCTCATTCCGCTTCTGCTGACCTGTGCGGTCTGTGAGCACCGCCGGCGTGGCGGTGTGATGGTCAGGGCGGTAGGGCAGCAAGCACGAGGCCGTTTTTGAGGCCTAGAAGCGGTGAACGGTGTCGCAAGTGGTCCCTAAAAGCAGGCAACAACGGATCTCATCTTCCGGCTACCATGCCCAAACACTCCATCTATGGAAGATATCTACATTGCGCTACATGGACCAGGACCTTCAAAGTGACCTCTTTGGGTCTCTAAGTGGCCTCTCTAGGGTCTAAGTGACCTCATTCTGAGATCTCAAAAGGTCACTTTGAAGGTCCTGGGAGTGTCTCCTATTCAGAAAAGTAACACAAAGGCCGGATATATAAATCTACACTCCGGAGAAACCAAACACAAACCGTTCACCTTCGCTTTGTGCCGACTCTATATATCCCATTCTTAAGCTCTTATCGAGTGACTCCCGTTTTTGGCTCCAAATAACATGACGTCGGTATAGCAATGCGCTGGACAACTGCAGCGCGAGTGCTCAAATCTCCTCGAGTCTTGTCTACTGCGCGTTGACGGCGTCATAGACTTGGAGACCCCGAACGTTGGAGGAAGTCGACATGACTGGTATAGCATGCGAGTCCACTCGCAGCACTTGGAATCTTGGTCTCCCGAACGTTGGAGGAAGTCGTGAATCGACGCATAGTGAACCTTCTTGCCCTTGTACCACTGGCGGGCCTAAGACATCGCCACACAAAAGCTGCAAAGATGACAGGGATACGGCGCGGTACAGTATCTGGCGACGACCGGTGGAGGTGGTTTTGGGAGTTAGGGTGCATTTGGTTATATACATGACATGAGAACTGTATAGAACTGGGTTTGGGAGTTATATAGGGTACATGTGTGCATTCATGATCATTCATGTAAGAACTCTTGTTGTGTGCCTTTACATGTAAACTAAAAGGTATACCTGAGCGGTCGGGAGTCAGGGTGGAGGTCGGACTATGGGAAGATGTCGGAGCGCGAAACCGAGGGCGACCACGACCCATGGGACTGGCAAATTGGCGCATCAGGTTTGGTGGTTTCTTGGGTGAATTGAGATTTCCATGTGCTGTACATGGAGTGTTTGGGAAACTTTGGGAAATGGAACATGAAGGAACAGGGCGCATGACAGGTAGTTGGTCATGGCACCAGACCGATCAGGCACAACCGGCACCCTGGTGTCGGTTCTGAAGCCGGCAAACGGTGGAGCCCAACATGATGGGGCACGAGCCAGGCCCATTTCACGGGCTCTTCTTTCAACGTCTTGGCAATTTCGGAAAAGGGAGTTTCAAAAGAACTGCTCTGCAAAACACGTGGCCATCGACGAATGTATGGTCCCTGCAAAGGAAAGGGAGCTTCGAAATGATCGATTGGAATGGCTATTATGGCCTACGACCTAGGAATCCAAGTACCTTCTCAGAAGGTACTTGGACCCTCCAAACCTACATAACATTACATAACAGTGTCTCCAATCACCGTACCTCAGAGGGGTGGCAGTGGATCATTAGGGCCTCCGCCACTGGTGACCCACGAACCTTCGTGGGAACTGCCTGGATTCACTGGGATCTAACTTGGCTCACTCAATGATAGAGAGGATTTCCATAATAGAGATTCCAAGCAGTTCCCACGAAGAGCCAAGTTAGATAGAATACTTTGAAGACTTTGAAGAGAGGATTCATGAGGATTTCCATGAGGCTGAGAGTCCAAGCTCCACTCCATGAAAGCTTGGCACGGCAAATGCGAACGAAAAGGGTTCCCCCCAACCAAATTCCCGGTTTTGAGGCACACCCCCTCCACCTGTGAACGGAGAAACCCAGCCCCCCACGCCGTCCCTCGTGCGCATCGGTCGATCGGACGATGCTGGGACGTGCGCACCAAGTCGGAGGTCAGGAAGGCGCTCACCGGCGGGCCGGTCCTGGGCGCACACACCGGCACACCACTCAACTTGGTGGGAAGATCATGTGGGGCCAGGAAGGAGATGGACATTGGGAGCTTCATTGGGCGAGGAAAACACGTGCTGGTTGAGAAATACGGTGGGGAAGGCAGGTTGCCGGGCGTGAAAGTATCGAAAATGGACTCAGAATAGGACACATCATCTAGCTGCTAATTTCGACTGGCCCGAAAAATATTAAGGAAATGAGCACTTTTTCTTCTTCTCTCACAATTCTGCTCCAGCGCTAGCAGCAGCTGTCTGCACCTGGCAGGAACGAATGATAGGTGAGAGAAGGGGCTGACGATCAATAATAAGTGCTTCTTCACCGATTTCATCTGCCCTGAGTTGACGCCTGCCTGGTCTAGGAACCTTCACCAAAGCAGCCGGCAGCCGAGAAGCCGCTGCAGCCTGACCAAGGATCAGACTGGTAAACTGCTGCCACTTCCCGTTGGTGTTCTTGGGACTGGTCTGCTGACAGGCTGAGAGCTGTGTGGTTCCATCTTGTCATAATGTGAAGAGAGGCCCAGTCCCAAAAAAGTCTCGACTACTCTAGACGGATGTGCAGTGTACGCACCCTTCTCAAAATCAAAAGCCGGCCCTGGCATAGACTGATCTGAACATAGAGTTCTGCGACAGGCGCTGCCCTTTAGGAACTTCCTTTGACCCTTCAGTCCATCCTTCGAAGGAGCAGCTACAATGAAGCCTGATGCACCTTCGCGCAAGGGGATGAGCCCACTGCCAGATGGCTGCAGAGCGGTGGCGTGAAGTACTGCTTTGCTCCGGCAAAATCAACTCACAACACCACGTGGGTTTTTCAGACTCGTGTGAGTGGCTTTGAGGAAAGACTTCTGATCAACTTGCGTTGTGCAACAGCACCGCCAACACAATTACTCTCCGTAAATGTCTTAATTATTAGAATAACCTTTGGGGGGCAGTGTCTCACCTCAGACAAAACAGACTTCACGCACGGCCCACCAAAACTCAACACTAAGTGGGGGAACGGAAGCTTCCTCTCCTCAACCGCCAAAACCTCTGGGAAAAAGCATAGGCAGCTCTGGCAAACCTTCGCCCGCACAGCCTTCATCATGGAAGCCTCGTGCTGCATGTCTCCGTCCTGGATTCTATGCTTGTACACCTTCACGACGCATTTTCTTCCCTGGTGATTGTCACTCAGCAGCACAGCTCCATAGGAACCTTCTCCGACGTACAAGCATGAGCCATCTTGTGTTTTTGGATCTGTATGGCATCGGAAGGCACCAATCCGCACGTCCTCCTGCTGCTCCTGCTTGATGGTATTCTCCGACTGGCTACTACTGAAAGGTTCCAACCTTTGTCCCTTGCACTCAGGAAGGAGGTGCTGTCTGAACTTCACCCCTGAACTCGCAATTGCACCCTCTGCGCCTCAAACTCTGCAGCGCACTTGGCTCTGTAAGCCTCTTTCTCACTCGGGGGTAGGTCTCGCCACTTTTGCCCCAAGCGCTTCATTTCCTGCGCGTGCGCATCCTTGCTCGCCCCCTTGTGAACATTGCAATGATCCTTCATGAACAAAGCAAAGGGGCGGCAAGCTTTGGGCGCAAGGCCATCTCCAATCGCGGCTCTTCGCTCAGATACCCTACTCCTTCTCTTAGTCTTGAGTTTCTTGCGGACAATAAGGTCCTTCGGAGATCTCTTGCCTCGTACACGGAATGGCGGAGGAAGCGCCATTCCAAAGATTGGTTGAATTGAAGCCAATGAACCACCTTGAGCCGAACAGCCCCTGAGCCAGCTAATTATCATCATGTCCACCTTACAAACTTGCGTTAAAGCTTCGCGTCGTCATACCTTTGGGCGCCTTTTGGCGCCTTTCGATTCAATGGCCAGCAAATTGTGGTATTTCAAAGGCGCAAGCAAGACTTTGAAAGGTTATCTTCTCGTGACAATTGAATTGATTTGTTTTCAGTGGTTCGTTGCCCGCGACAAACAGGTATTGGATCCAAGCTTCCGCGCATTGACTGACAGTAAGGGCATGCAGCGCATCGTCTGCCGCAACTAGCTGGAGACCTGCAGGCGTAATTCTCAAAATCGCAGAGCCTCTCTTCTCTGCAGTTTCCGTGCTCTAAAAGTCTAAGAAATTCACATACCTGAGACGTATGCTACTGTTCAGTGAGGCTTCGAAGATTCAAGTGAGCACTTTAACTCAATCAGACAGCAAGCGGCCAGCCCACCAACCCCAGTCTTTTCATGTGTTGGGTCACAACCAGCTGCTGCTTGGTCTGAGGCAAGGCCTCCCACAGGAACAATGGACAAATCCAAAATCTCAACCAGTTAGCCAGAGGCCACACAAACGACAAGCTCAATCTTGAGTCTACCTTTCAGAGCCCACGCACTACCCTTCAATTGCCTGCAGGAAGCAATTCCGCTGGGAAAGGAAACTTTGTGATTTCAAAGGACCACAGCCACTAGCCAAAACAGTGGGTTGCAAGCGACAAAGAAAACAGGAATTGATCGTACAGTACCAGGCTAACCCTTGGGTACATGTCTGCCATCCTTGACTGCAAAAACCAAAGAGGTTGGAGCAAGGAAAGGTCACGGCTGGGTGCCCTGAAGAAGCCCGAGGAAGGAACAATGAGGCACCTCCATGGAGAGGATCTGTGGGCCGCACTTCCAACCTCACCCTGCCAAGGATAGTGAGCGAAGTCGCAAAATTGGCCAGTACCGGCCAGGAAGCTGTAAGAAACAACACAAGGTCCTCAAACAAGACACACAAGGCAAACCTTTCCGACCCCACCTACTACCTTTCATTTGATAGGTTGAAGCTATTCCGCTGGGAAGGGTAGGCTTGGTGATTTCAAAGGTACATAATAACCAGTGGCCTCAAAGCTCAAGCATGTGCTTTGCACTGCCTGGCCAACCCTTGAACACATGCCCACCACCTTTTACTGCATCAACAGTTATTCCTTGCGCAAGGAAAGGTGACGACACTGTACCCTTTGAGAAACCTTCTGCAAGGTCAAAAGGTGCCTTGATGGTGAGGATCTATGAGCCCAGCCAATCTCGGCCTGAACAGGATGCTCACAAAACACTAACGGCTAATTTTAGTTATCCGACCCAAAGCCCAGTGGCCAAAAACCAGCCACATGCTTGGAAGGGTCCGGGCCATAACCCTTCAGTTGCTAAAATCTGAATAGTCCAGCAGTGAAGGGCAAAGTGCTTGACTTTAAGGGTCTACATGAAGCGGTGCGTTAAGGCCTTGCAGCGACATCTAAATCTCCTCCTAAAGGAACGAAAGCGGCAATGGTGCCTGAAACGGGAGCCGATGAGCCAGGAAGCCTCTTCATTTGCCGCCGAGGGCACGGCCAACTTTGGGGAGAGGAGACGGGTCTTCCTCGCCCATCCAATTGCCTGAGAATGGCTGCCCCCATTGTGGCTGCAAAGCCAAGGGGCGGAAACAAACTCACGCTGGCATCCCAAATTAGCCTAGCAACTCCTTTTGAGAAAGCAAAAGTTCCTGAGCGCAAGTCGTGGCTAGGGAAACCCATGACTGACAGGAAGCCATTTGCTGAATCTCAACGATAAGCGCAAACCGGGAGTCTTCAAGACGTGGATGCACTTGCACGCATTCACGACACAAACGTCAGATGTGACCTCAGCCTGGAGAATTTGCATCTTCACGCACTTGGGATTTGGCAAACCTTTCAACTGCTCCTGGACGGCTTCCAGAGTGTCTGCAGGGCTTTGGCCGCACCATCGCCCAAAGACCTTGCTGTACGTTCCATTCCTGACATAAAACCCGAGTGCGCCATTGAAGCCGCAAAAGTTTTAGTCAGTGAAGTCTATTATAGTGCACGGGCCACTCACAAACCCCAGGACACGAACCTATACTATACTATAAACTGCATCTGCGAATCCAATGCGGGCTGCACTCGTAGCAAGGGTTGGCCAAACGATCAATGGCCGCAAGTGTCTGCCGAAAGTGGGGAGCCATCAGCCTGCTGGAGTTGCACTTCACGAGATAGAGCCTCGGTGGTCAATTACTTGGCTATTGCTTCCCTGTCTTGAAAATGATGTTGTTGAAATTCCATTCAGGTTGCGACAAGGCACATATCCACGTCGACAATCCAATCAGCTTTGCCCTGGCACACGAACATAATGTCGAGGCTGCCATCCAAAAATTGGCCAGCCATGGCCAGAACATCAGCCATCCGAAGCTTCGCCAGGGCACGGTTCGGCCGGACCTTCTGCTCCCTTTTGGAAATAACTCGGGACGGCAGGAAAGCTTTTCGCTGGGCAACCCCATGGGTGACTTCGAAGAACTTTTGAACGAGCGGAAGCAAAGCCAAGGGCCGACGAGCCGACAACTCATCCACCAAGAACTCACCAAATTGCACAGAGCGAAGGTACGTTGCAATCATAATTAAAGCTAACTGCTCCCTGGCTTCCAATTTCTGAACTTTGGCACTGGCCACCAGAATCTTCAAACAGGCCATCAGCTTGTCACCACCTCAGTTAAGGATGCCCCAAAGCAGGTCCGCCCTAGCACCAAGCCAGAGTTTTTTTGAAGCTGACAGACCTGTTGCCTGGCATGGGCGCGGTGATTCATCTGGTTTGTGGCACAGGTAGAAACAAACAGCCGAAGCGCTCACAGGTTGCAACGTATGGTCGTATCAAGTTGCAGGTTGTTGCCTGAAAACTATCACACAGGCATCCACCAAGTCACGGCTCTTCACCACAGAGTGGGCAAAGCTGCCTCTGCAACTGTCCAAAAAAGACAGCCTGGACTCCCCCATCCTCAGAAAGGGATTCTCAGCGTGCGAGATCTGCAGCATCAGGTTGTCTGGGTCCTGCGGAGCTTGGAGTGCCAATATGGGATCTGATTCCTGATGATGTTCTTGTCTGATCAAACAAGGCAGACGACCAGCTCACCTTTCAATAGCACTAGAGAACCTTTCATGGGAAAGTAAGTGTAACACATAGTGGTGAAGGCTCAACAGAACGCACTGAAAGGTTTCACACACCTTGTCCAGTGGTGGGATGCGACAGCCGATTCTATAGGCCATGTAAGCTGCCAGGGCTGCCTCACTTCGATTGAACGCTGCACGCTGCTGAAACACCACTGACCCACTACCACTCTCATCAGTGCAGCGGGAAGACTGGAGCTACTGTGTCCAAATCATAGTCTCGAAACATGAAGTTTGCCACAGAGAGTATATAGCTTGTTGTCGTTGGAATCCATGCAATCCCTGGCAGTGTGGGCTGCAGGGTGGCCAGGCCCTATATGGCACAAACTCTAGAGTCACTACTTGACCAGTAAGGACTACTACCACCAAGCAACGACCCAAGCGCATCTGGCCAAACGCCCCCAAGAATTGGTCGCCTGCCCACCTTTGCAGGCGCTCACCCTTTCGTCTGCTGCCAGCCTTGCACTGATCGCAGGTGGAGGCATCGCTGGCCTGGCAAAAGCATGCGATTCATGACGGTGAAGTCAACATAGTAAAAACAATGACAGCTGCCCTGAGACCTCTCTCAGACCTTTCAGTGGCAACGCAGTACCTTTGCAAGCAAATTGAGACCTTTGGAAGCAGTCGTCGGCTACAAAACACCTTTCAAATGCACGAAACCTTTCAAGTGCTTGTTTTCACCTTTCAATGACACGAAAACATTGAGGTTACTGGTTTTTACGAACCAGTGGCGTATTGTAGGGGGGAATGCCCTTGTGAATACGGGCCCAGTTTTTGCAAACCAGGAGTGTATTCTCAGTTATCTTTTCCCAGGCAATACTGAAACTGAGGCAAAGCATATTCAGTGGACAATTTCCCCTCGCAATACGGTCTTGGTTTTTAAAAACCACTGGGCGTATTTGGAGGGGGCGCTTTTTGGAGCCGCTGAGCTACTGGAGCCACTTAGGCTGCTTTGCTAGCAACTTCCGATTCCTGTACGAAACAAGACTGACCCCACTTCAAGTCTTCAGGCCAAAGGCTACTAAGCCTCTTGATTTCCGCAGAACGCGAATTGATCGAAGGAATGCCCAAAATTCAGGCCAGCTTGCCAGCTTCTTGCAAACCTTCTTTTTGCAAGCAAATGGTCTGGCAGCCACAAAGGGTTCACCGAACACTGCCAGTTGCCAGCGCGATCCAGAGGTCTTGGCGCAG